CCTGCCACCACTGCAAACAGCCTCTCTCCAGCCACTTTCAGGTAGAAGAGAAAAGTGACGGGGGATTTGGTAGCAGCCTTCAACTACCTGAAAGTGGCTGGAGAGAGGCTGTTCGCAGTGGTGGCAGGTGGCAGAATGAGGAGCAATGGTCTCAAGTTGCAATGGGGGAGGTCTAGGTTGGATATTATAAGACCAGTGCCCCTGCATCCCTCGTCCCCACGAGCCCTGGGAGCCTCCACACCCTCCATAACAGTATTTATGTGTTTGGAGCAGAAGAGTAAATGGGATGGTGCAGAATTCTTCCTGCACTAAAAGGCTCTTACATTGCGCTAGGTATGTATGACCATGTTCCTCCTGGCTCTGTAACTCTCCTGCTACACAGCCCTAGGAAATCCACCTCTGCGAGGGGCTTAGTCCACACAGTCCAGACATGGCAGTGGCTTGGCTTGCATTGCCTGGGGGGCTGCCAGCGGGGCGGACGGGTGGAGCCGTGACACTGAGCTGCTGTGAAATTGAGCAGGGCGGGGGCGTTCCAGCTAAGAAGGCCAGCTGGAGCCCTGCTCTCTGGCAGTGACAGCCGGGGGGGGGGGACCCCACAGCTGGAGTCTGGCCACCTGCCGTGCTCCGGGTGAGGACGCTTGCGATCGGCAGAAGGCAGCGTGGACACAGGGGGCTCTACATAGACCTAGCATAGGTCCACTCGGTCTTACTCACTCGTATGACACTGGTGAGTTGTCCACCCAGGACCAATGGCTTTCCTGGTCTCTGACACTTAGGCCGATCCAGTGCTCAGTGGAATTGATCCCACCTGCCAGGAAGGCCTATGGGGGATGAGAGAGAAGCACAAAGCAGCAGTTACTTCTCCACAGGGGGCTCTACATAGACCTAGCATAGGTCCACTCGGTCTTACTCACTCGTATGACACTGGTGAGTTGTCCACCCAGGACCAATGGCTTTCCTGGTCTCTGACACTTAGGCCGATCCAGTGCTCAGTGGAATTGATCCCACCTGCCAGGAAGGCCTATGGGGGATGAGAGAGAAGCACAAAGCAGCAGTTACTTCTCCCCTACCTGGGATCTGAAAATCGCCAGGGACCTCTGCCCCCCCCGGCCTGCCCAGCCCCCCATCACCTGCCGTTTCCAGGGGCTACGCTGAGAGCACCCCCCACCC